TCATCCAATTTATTATTCTATCGTTGAATAAATAAACCAGTTATGAGTCAGTGCAGAATCTAAACCTCTGTGGCAGGTTCCTTGTTGGCTATTTGACATGTCATACTGATAGTGCAGGTAAAGCTGGACTAAATGTTTGATTTCCTGACTGATGCAGGAGTCTAAATAATATTTAAGTCCCTTTTTCGTTGGAATGTAAATCAACTATCACTGAAAAATAAAGGTTTAAGAAAAAGACTAATAGCCTAATAATATCACATCGATAGTGTAATTCCAGGTTTAATTAGATTGATTTACTTGTACTAAGGATGCACCAACAACATTTTTGTTCCACACTAATGAAGCATGATGTCTATGTTAAAGATTACAATTAATTAAAGAGCAGTGACTGTGAAGACTGCCTGAGCTTCTCTGAGGTATAAATCCATACGGTGAACAACTGAGCTGCTGGTGGAAATACAAGCTAATAACCCAAAGCAGAAGCATCTTGCTAACAGTGATAAATAAGTTATAATTTTTCACCTCACAGTTGTCTTTGACGCATTATCTCTGTGTGGTTGTAAGAAAATTGTGTAAAATGTATTTATTTATTTTATTTTATTTAACCTTCATTTAACCAGATGACGACGATCTGCCAAAGAGGCAGCAGCAACAAACACATAGTTAGCTTTCCACCAAAGAAAAACAGATAAGATAAAAACATTCAAGATAAAAATATGATAAAACATTCAGACATAACGGACTGTTCTCATATATATATATAATATGTACAAGCAATCAAAACAGACTAAAAACAATCTCCAAGTCCTCTAGAACAGAGGTTACCAAGCTTTTTAAACTCGTGGACCCCTGAGCCATTTTCTCGTACTACGAGAAAAAACGTACAGCTGCTTATTAACTGAAAATAATCTCATTAAATATCCTCAACACAAAACCACATCTCACCTCTCAGGTGAATTATTTAACTTTAACAATCCTCATGCAGGGTCTAGAAAAAATAAAATTCATGTGGAAACTTTCTGTAGCTCTGCATCTGGATCTGTACCAGAGCCCGTGTAAATGCTCTGATTGGACTCAATCCAGGTGAAACTGATCCACAGCCACTCTGCATTTGGTGTGAAAGAGGCTTCATTTTCTCTCAGTAGTAGCTGCAGCCCTGCTCTGGTTTTTCTTTCATGTAGAGTTTCTTAACCCTGGCCCTCAATTCCCCTGTCCTACAGGTGTTTCCTTGCTGCCACACCTGATCTAAATGAATGAGTTGGCCTAAACAGATAATTAATAACATAACAATATAACAATACATGTGACAGCACCATCTAGTGGACAACTTTTGTTTCTGTGCATACCTGTAGTTATCGCACATTTTAATTCAATTCAAAAATACTTCATTAATCCCAGAGGGAAATTGATGGCTGTAGTAGCTCAGAATAATAATCAAGTCTTCAAAGAGTTATTGTTTCATTTATCGTTATCGAGGTGAAATCCTCAATATATTGTGAAATTGATTTTAGGCCATATAGCCCAGCCCTAACCCGGAGTATTGGCCAACCAATACAGGTCTTTCTAAAAAAATTAGCATATTGTGATAAAGTTCATTATTTTCTGTAATGTACTGATAAACATTAGACTTTCATATATATTAGATTCATTACACACAACTGAAGTAGTTCAAGCTTGTTGTTGTTTCTAATATTGATGATTTTGGCGTACAGCTCATGAAAACACAAAATTCCTATCTAAACAAATTAGCATATCATGAAAAGGTTCTCTAAACGAGCTATTAACCTAATCATCTGAATCAACTAATTAACTCTAAACACCTGCAAAAGACTCCTGAGGCTTTTAAAAACTCCCAGCCTGGTTCATTACTCAAAACCGCAATCATGGGTAAGACTGCCGACCTGACTGCTGTCCAGAAGGCCATCATTGACACCCTCAAGCAAGAGGGTAAGACACAGAAAGAAATTTCTGAACGAATAGGCTGGTCCCAGAGCGCTGTATCAAGGCACCTCAGTGGGAAGTCTGTGGGAAGGAAAACGTGTGGCAGAAAACGCTGCTCAACGAGAAGAGATGACCGGACCCTGAGCAAGATTGTGGAGAAGGACCGATTCCAGACCTTGGGGGACCTGCGGAAACAGTGGACTGAGTCTGGAGTAGAAACATCCAGAGCCACCGTGTACAGGCGTGTGCAGGAAATGGGCTACAGGTGCCACATTCCCCAGGTCAAACCACTTTTGAACCAGAAACAGTGGTACAAGTGCCTGACCTGGGCTACAGAGAAGCAGCACTGGACTGTTGCTCAGTGGTCCAAAGTACTTTTTTCGGATGAAAGCAAATTTTGCATGTCATTCGGAAATCAAGGTGCCAGAGTCTGGAGGAAGACTGGGCAGAGGGAAATGCCAAAATGCCTGAAGTCCAGTGTCAAGTACCCACAGTCAGTGATGGTCTGGGGTGCCATGTCAGCTGCTGGTGTTGGTCCACTGTGTTTTATCAAGATGAAGATTTCATTTTTCAGCACGACCTGGCACCTGCTCACAGTGCCAAAACCACTGGTAAATGGTTTACTGACCATGGTATTACTGTGCTCAATTGGCCTGCCAACTCTCCTGACCTGAACCCCGTAGAGAATCTGTGGGATGTTGTGAAGAGAAAGTTGAGAGACGCATGACCCAACACTCTGGATGAGCTTAAGGCCGCTATCGAAGTATCCTGGGCATCCATAACACCTCAGCAGTGCCACAGGCTGATTGCCTCCATGCCATGCCGCATTGAAGCAGTCATTTCTGCAAAAGGATTCCAGACCAAGTATTGAGTGCATAACTGAACATAATTATTTGAAGGTGGACCTTTTTTTGCATTAAAAACACTTTTCTTTTGTGGGTCGGATGAAATATGCTAATTATTTGATAGGAATTTTGGGTTTTCATGAGCTGTATGCCAAAATCATCAATATTAGAAACAATCAAAGGCTTGAACTACTTCAGTTGTGTGTAATGAATCTAATATATATGAAACTCTAATGTTTATCAGTACATTACAGACAGTAATGAACTTCATCACAATATGCTAATTTTTTGAGAAGGACCTGTATATCCCTAGTTATCGCCAGCGACTTTAAATAGGACAACAAAAAAACAAAATACCATTTCTGGTTTTAGCGCTATGTTGCTTTGTGTAGCAAGTTTGCTCTAAATGGTCTATAGATTTGTGACTGTTTTCCACCACACAGACCATTTCCATGACTTTAAGGTAGCTATGTTAGCTGAAACACATGTGGGACTCTGATGTATAGCTCAGACTTTTTCTGCAGCTGTAAAGAACACAATTTTACACCACAGGGACCACGGAGCTAAAGCAAACACTTTAGGTTGCTGTCGTAACCTTGGTTCTCTGGGTAACTTGAGTGAGATGTCTCACTGAGGGACACGCCCCTCCGCAGATTCCTCCATCAGTCAATCCTGATTGGCCAGTGACTGTTCTATCACCAAGGCAAGAAGAGGTGGTTGAATGACACGTGCATAGGGACACTTGCTACTCACAATAGCAGGTGAGGTGAGTGTCACGGTCACTGGCCAATCAGGATTGACATAGTGAGATAAGTGCTAGGGCTGAACGATTTTAGGAAAAGATTGAATTGCAATTTTTCTAGCAGAAATTGAGATTTCGGTTGAATTCACGATTTTCTGCAAACACAGGTCCAACACTAGCCTGCCAAGCCATCCTGTAGATTAAGTGAAAAGATGGTCTAGATTCTAATCTAGTACAACAAATCATTCACATTAATATTTGATATTTAATCATACAATAAAAACAGTTAAAGCTATTCATATTTTCTCCCATTATTATCTTTTTTGATAATTTTTAAGTGTTTGTGAAGCAACTTGTGCTTGTGATTTTTATCTAGAGCATTATAAAACGTGTTCTACTCCAAAAGTGCATGGAGGAAATATGTAGGTAGAAATAGCTTTTAAATGTATTAAATGTCAAACTGCACACAGTTTTCCCCGCATTACCAAGGCAGGCTGCTGCACATTTTTCGAAGCCGCCTGATAGTTTTCCCTCACTAAAAACGTCAGCTCCATGAGAGAGACGCACGCATTCTGACACCTCAGCTTGTTTGAGCTAACGTGTGCCGTCGGAAACATTCCAACCATTAAAAGAGAAGTTGAGCTTTCAAGTCAACTAAAGTGCGCGACTCCGCACTCGCTGATGAAGCATAAACCAAGCTTTAGAAGTCAGCCTGAACCTGCTCCGATGTGGGAGGAGTCTCTCTCCCATACTCAACTACGTTCTCTCTCTCTGTCCCGGGCTCACCTATGGTGCCATTACTATTGGCTCTAGCAGCGCTGTGTGTGGGAACATAAAACAGGGAAATAACCTGAACATGCAGCTCTGGCAGCTGTGGAGTTGGGCTCACCTCTGGACGGTACACCCCTCCCCTGCGCTGGCTTTTGCTGCCGCCATAACACAGGGGGAAAACCCAGGATGTAAAAATAAATAAATAAATAAATAAATAAAATAAAAAAAGTTACACAACTGATCCTGGATCAGTCAAAACCGCTAAAACTGCAGTTTGACGGTCACGTGATCGTGCTGTTTGAAACTGAAATTTCGGTCCAAAAACGATAGACCGTTCAGCTCTAATAAGTGCTTCTGGGGAACCTGCGGATGGACGTGTCCCACAGAGAGACATCAGGGTGTTTCCCAAAGCAAACCCCTACAGACCACTTCTTCCTGTGATGTAGACAGGACCCAGGTGTTATGGGATTAGAAGGGGGAACTTAATTTTGTTTATAATGATTTATGTCAAAATTACTTACGATGAAAAACTGAAATAGATGTACTTTTATATAGAAGGTAATGAGTACTACACCGAATATCAATGATTTTGACGCAAAGTCTGGTCTTTCCCCAGTACAGCCACTACAGAGCAGTGGAGAAACAACATCAGAAATGCTCTCAGCGCGTGTAACCATGTCTGCATGCAGCGCTGTCCTCACCTGTTCTGTCGTAGGACTCGTGGCAGGTGTGGGCGATCTCAGCTCCGAGCTGTAAATAGTGTCCGGCCTTGTCGTCCGGCGAGCCATCAGCGCCCAGAGCAAACATGCCACCAGCAAAGCAGGCCAGGTGGCCCATCTTCCTCTCCAGGTGGCCGTTCTTCCACTCTCCGATGAACGTCAGCCCGCCGTTGGATTTCCGTATGAGGTGGCGCTCAATGGCCTGGAGGCAAAAAAAGACTGAGCGTCACTGAGAAAGCAACAGAGCGGGGTAATGACAAGGACAAAGGGGTTGAGGTCTTTTGTCTCTCTGACTAGCTGAAACTATCACATGCACGTAGACCAGAGTGGATCCAGAGATGGGTACCTCAATAGCATCATCGTAACTTTTTCGAGCTTCTGTGTCGGTTCTGTCAGACATGAGCCATGCCTTCAGAAGGTACTCATAAAAACTGTCCCCTAATCCTCCCAGTGAGGTGTGATCTGCAGGGACAGAAAGAAACGAGTTTAAAGACGAGAGGATAGAGGAAAAACACCTACCTGTGGGAAAAATCCTTTCCAGCACTTGGCTGAGTAGCATTGGCTAAAGCAGGTCATTTTCTCCTCTGCATTCAGAAATATTGGCAGCGTGTTTCCTCACTCGCCCAGTTTTGTTTACTCTCTCCCTGATGTGCTCACATTTCACCATCCCAGAAATCCCCATCGATTTGGTTTACACAGCTCTCATGGCTGCCCTTATTTGCAGGAGACAACACAGAAAAGTAGGACACTGCAAGTGCCTGAAAGTGGCCAACTACATCCAGAAATCCCTCCCCGAGGGGGAATTCTGCACCTGTTCCTCTGAAAAAACACCCAGCTGTAACCTGTACTGCACCAGAACATTTAATATTATAGTATTCTTTTCAAAACCAAATAAACTCTTTACAACTTTGACTTAGGAGGAAAATATCTGAAGGTCATTTAGAAGGTAAGTGGTTGCATTTCCAGCCGTTTCTGTCCTCCAGATCTAATTTTACAGCGGTACTGTAAAACCGGTACTCAAACGCAACGACACCATGAAATCTTTATGCCCCTCTGTCGTCAAACGGTGAAATCTGGAGATTTGTCATCCAGTGAGAGTAGAGATCTCTTCAGCTGACTGTAAACACATCTGATGTCTGAGCGGATGCTTCATGTCTCCTCATCAAGGAGGATTCTGGTCCATATGTGGCTAACACGGCTACAGGAGGACAAAGATGACTGAATTATTGATGTTTTTGCCACCCACAACCTTAAAGAAAAGGCTGAGGGATTTGTGAGCTCTTTTGTTCTGTTTCTCCAACTATTATTGGCGCTCATTCTGAAGGCCTGGCACAGCGGTGGCTGATTTGCAGCCCGTTTAGACTGTTTCTGACTGTATATACTCACCATGCATTAAGGATGGTAAAAGAGACACCCTTACATGCTTTAGCTCTGCAATCACTTCAGATGAACCAGTGAAACTAAGTCTGACAAACAAACTAAAGCCTCATTTCCACTTCAGTAAGTTTGCTGTTGAGGTTAGTGTCACAATGAATGTGAACGTTGGTTACGTATTGTAACCCCAGATTCTATGAGTCTAGTCGCAGCCCTTAAGCTAGCTGCTATTGGAAGGATGATCTCCGCATCAGCCAATCATGAAGAGCTTAAATGTACGCCCACCAATAGTGGGCCCCCTCGTGGTATATAACCGCAGTGACCCCACTGCTCACCTCCAATGGCTCTTATTCCCATCATAACCAGTGGGGCCAGTGGCTTAAGGGCTGCGACTAGACTCATAGAATCTGGGGTTACAATACGTAACCAACGTTCTATTTCGTCTAGTCTTAGCCCTTAAGCTAGCTGCTATTGGAATAAGGCGCAGCTGGATGGGTTTACGCCCCACTGGTTAACACAACCAATGGACACACCCAATCAAATCTCCTCTAGTGGGGGACGTTCAGCCTCAGACCAGGCCTAAAGACTGAGGCAGGCACGATAAGAGAGGGGCCCCCACTAAAAAACATCATCCACAAGAGGATAAAATCCATCTCAGCAAGGCCAATGAGGTGCCATAAGCATTCATTTAGCCTGCTGGGGTCCAAGCACTGAACGAGTGATGGAACCTGAAGACACATCTCGTAAATAATAACGAGTAAAGGAACAGGGTGAGGCCCATGAAGCAGCCTGACAAATGTCTTCCATTGACACACCACTGAGGAGCGCCATCGAAGAGGAAATCCCTCTGGCCGAGTGAGCCCTGAGTGCCTCAGGGGGATCCCGCCCTGATGATGTGTAAGTGAGGGAAATGGCGTCACACAGCCAGCGTGAAAGGCGCTGGGCCGACAGCGCCTGACCAAGGGAAGACTCCCTGTAGTGCACAAACAGGTTTTGTGAGCGACGAATCCCTGAAGTGCGTGACACATATCGTGCAAGCGCGCGCACCGGGCAGAGAAGGTGAGAAGCCGCCTCCTCCTCAGAATTATGGGGAGGAGAAAAAAGTCCAGCCAATGAAATTGACCTGGATTTGAAGGAAGCATTAATGCTTTTGGGCACAAAGGCTGGGTTGGGGCATAAAACAGCAGACCCGCCATCCTCCCGGATCCTGAGGCATGCGGGAGCCACTGAGAGGGCGGTTAGGTCACTCACTCTCTTAACTGACGCTAGCGCCAGCAGCAATGCAGTTTTAAGCGACAGGAACTTGAGTGAGACCTGGTCCAAGGGTTCAAATGGAGCTTCAGATAAGCCGTGCAGAACCACCGTTAGATACCATTGGGGAAAAAGCGGGCGGGACACAGGTCTGTTCCTTCTGACACCTTTTAGAAAACGTTTTGTGAGGGGATGATTGAAAACAGATCTATCTCCAAAACCCTGATGACATGATGAGATAGCTGCAGCATATGTCTTAACAGTGCTGAATGCGAGGCCCCTGTCCATCAGTATCTGCAAAAATGATAGAACATCCGCCAGCTGGCAGGAGAGCGCTTGAACATTCCGTTCTGCGCACCAGTTCTGGAAAGCTGCCCATTTAGCAGCGTAAGAGGCAATGGTAGAGGGCGCCCGCGCACTCTGAATCGTGGCCACCACATCATGCGGCAGCCCAGAAGCCTCTAAGCGTGACCGCTCAGCGGCCAGACCCACAGCCGTTGGCCTATTTCCGGAGGATGTTTGATTATCCCATCCGCCTGGAGAAGGGCGTCCCCCCTCCACGGGGAGCCGGACACTAGCGCTTGCAGGTCCGGAAACCATGACGCGGACACGCGCCTGGGAGCCACCAGAATCACCGAGAGCTGTTCCGACCGAATTCGGTCCAGGAGACGGGGAATCAGAGGGACTGGTGGAAACGCGTAAAGGAGCGTTCGAGGCCAGGGCTGGTGTGAGAAGGCGTCCGCCCCGAGCGGGGGTCCGTCCCGGGGACTCAGGGAAAACCACAGGCGACACTGAGCGTTTTCGCGAGCCGCGAACAGATCCACAGACGGTTCCCCGAACCTGATCCAGATCTGTGATATCAGTGCAGGATGTAGACGCCAGTCGGAGTCGCGGGGTCCCCCTCTCGACAGGATGTCTGCCGCTACATTCAGTACCCCCGGAATGTAGATGGCTCTGATGGACAGCAGGTGGACATGTGTCCAACACAGTAAATCTGTGGCGACACGCAACAGTGGGAGGGATCGAACTCCCCCTTGGCGATTTATGTAGGCTGCCGCTACCCGGTTGTCTGTGTGAACTTCGACATGACGGCCCTCGAGAAGGGCAGCGAAGTGTCTGATCACTTTCCTCACTGTCATAAGCTCCAACACATTTATGTGCTCGTGCGTGTGGGAGGGCCAGCGATCTGCCACCGTGTGGGACAAGCACGTGCCCCCCCACCCCGACAGTGACGCATCCGTAAACACAGATACGTGTGACGCAGGACGTCCGATGGGAACCCCGCGTGAGAGGATGCAGGGGTTCCCCCAGTGAGCGAGGTCCCCGCCCACTGAAGGGGGAATCCTCAACATACGTCTCTTCTGACGTATTGGGTGTACCTGGAGGCGGACAAACCAGCGTTGCAAGCGCCTCGTGCGCAGCAAACCTAACGGCACTACTGAATGGGCTGCGGACATCATGCCCAGGAGTTTCATGACTAACCGGGCTCTCACGATCTTGCGGGGTTGAACACGGGAGATCACCGTGGAGAGATCTGCCGCTCTTGCAGGCGACAAACGTGCTCTCATTAGGGAGGCGTCCAACTCCACCCCGAGATACACAATCGACTGGGATGGAAGGATGGAGCTCTTTTCCCAGTTTATAGAAAACCCTAGGGTTGACAGATGCTCTGTCAACCTCCTGGTTTGCTGTGACGCCTCGTCCTCGGACCGAGCGCACAGGAGAAGATCGTCCAGGTAAAATAAGACCCTCATTCCCTCCGTGCGCAGTGGCTGCAGCGCGGTCTCCAGACATTTGGAGAAAGTGCGCGGGGCTAGCGAGTAGCCGAAAGGGAGGCGATTGAACTGATATTGAACTCCCTTGAACGAAAAACGCAGAAACTTCCGGTGGTTTGGAACTACTGGTATGTGGAAGTATGCGTCTTTCAGGTCGATTGACGTGAACCAATCCCCGGGGCGCACATATTCCAGGACTTGTCTCATCGGTAACATGCGGAAATGCATTACTGCTATGGAGCAGTTGAACAGGGACAGGTCGAGAATCGGCCTCATTCCTCCCGACTTCTTCGGTACTATGAAGTAGCGGGAGTAGAAACCCGAGAGTTCTTGTCCGCGAGGGACTTGGGAAATAGCGTCCTTGGACAGAAGTTCCCGCAGCTCCAGCTCTAGCGCCTGAGACTGTACTTGCGATGTGAACGTCGTCTCCACGATCCCGTTGAAGGGAGGTGGAGTGGCCTGAAAATGAAGTGTGTGACCGCAATGAATGGTGTCCGAAATCCATTTGCTCATGATGCAAAGGCGGCGCCACTCGTGCGTGCGTTCCGACAATGGACGCGTGTGCGCGGTCACGTGAACAACGTCTGAGGGTTGTGCATGCGCCCTTACCGCCGTCGCCCGTACCAGAGAACTGGGGGCGACCCATGGAGGGCTGCGCTCGAAAGGGCAAGTGCGAAACAGCTGGAACAGGCTGGTCCACACCGCGGAGCGTGGAGTCCGAGAGTGAAGGACGAGTGGGAGCCGGGCCTGTGCACGGGGGCGACAGAGTGCTAGCGGATGGAGCCGCGCACTGTGCCGCCGCGCGTGGTCGAGACAGCGACATGACATCCCGCCCCACCCAACGGCGTGGGGAGAGCGGGACGAGTTGGGCCTGGCCGGATGCTGGGGCCAGAGCGCAAATGGAGCGCACCCTTACGGCTGGCCGTGTATTATGACTACCTGCAGGAACATGTGTGCGTGCAGCAGTGCTTGGTGTGGGGAACATGTGTGAAAACTCGGCAGAGGATTCTGCGGAGGACTGTAGGATTGAGCTCTTTGAGTGACGTTTTTTGGGTTTTATTT